TTTCAAGCATTACAACAAGCATATTAAAATGGGATATACCAAGTCATCAACTTCTTGAATCAGATTCTATGGTTCTAACTCTTATCTTTATTTAATATTTGTCAACTTATTACTTATAAAATTATGTTAACAATTCAGATAATAATTGTCTCACTGAAAGAATGTTTTTCAATGTTGAGTTGATAATTACCTAAAACTAATAACTAAAAAAACAATATTAAATACTAGTAATAATTTTCATCTAAATAGTGTAAAAAAAATAATTTAGAATAAATATGTATTCAAAATTTATTTATATTTAGATCTCAAATTAAAATTTTGCTTTAGGGACCAATTACATTTAGTCTCAACTTATGCCAAATTGCCAATCCTCCAAATTAAAGTGACTATTTTGGTACGCGTGGTCTTCCTCTTCTATCGATGAAAACTGAAGAAAGTAAGAACTTTACCCTCTCATGTAATATAGGCACCCAATTCAAAATGTTTTTGCATTGGATAGTCAATTCTAGATTGTAACTAGTATTTCGATGTAGAATTAATGATGTTGATGTTAAATTTGACGAGATTCAAGATGAATTAATGTGAAGATTTGGTAGCTAGAAAGATAATTCTTCATTAGTATAAAAGTCAAGATAGTAACTTTGTAGGTCAAATTTAGATAAATCATAAAATGATTTCGCAAGTTAAACGTCAACATTTTGACACATAGTGACATCAATAAGGATAATTCATTCGTATAAATAGATAACTCTTAATTCATTTGTAACACACCTCTCACTTGCCTTCTCATCTTTTAAGGTATTTGATCTTTCTTTTTTTCTCTTATGGTATTTCACTTGTACTCTTGTGGAGTGAAATAAATATTGATTGTTTGTGTCCGAGGATCAGGCAAAAGAAAACAAATTTTTACCAAACCTCGTAAATTCGTAATGTATAATTGTTGTATCATTTACTATTTATTAACTACCTTTAGATATAGCAGTTGTGATTTCATCGCTCTCTATATATTCGACTTCCACAGCAATTAGATTCAATAATTTCAACAATTGTTTTATGATGTGATATTAAAATTAGTTCTATATTTTCAGTTCAAAAATGCTCTCAAATTTATTTAATTCTTAGATATATAGAAGCTAGTTTATGCCTGTACAAGTCAAAAAGATGTTTTGGTTTCTTTTTTTCAACTTTCTGTATAATGTACTCTACAAATATGTTGTTGCTCATAAAAGACCATGCATGATTGTAAAACTAGGAACAATTTTTTGTTTTTAATTAATTAAACATCGTATTACTACATATTAATTAGTTTTACAAGTTCATAAGACAAATATGTGATACAACGTTATAAGAGTAGTAATTAATAATCAACCGTGTTACTTAAATGATTCATTTTATGTACTTCGAATACACTTTACTAATTTTTATCAACAAGTAAAACAACTTCATGGGGTTAACCAGACTATATATATATATATGAAAAAATGGTTTAAAATATATCTGAACTTTGATCGAAATTGTTGTAACAATCTCAAACTTTGAGCAGGACCTATTACCCCTGACTATTTAATAGTGTATTTTAAAGATATATAGGTGTCCACGTGGACATCATAAATATCCATCATTATAAATAGTAACTTGTTCAGTTGTACATTTATATATCTTTAAAATATAGTACTATTAAATTGTGCAGGGATAATAGCTAGGTAGGAGAGGACCTAGGTGGATGGGCGGGGGTTCACCCAAACCCCCTCGATAAAAAAATTATACCGTATATATAAGGTTAAAATTATTATTTATGAGTATAAATATTAAATTGAACCCCCTCTATACAATTGTGATGCGTAGCCCAGTGATCAAGGGGGTTCAGAATGACTTCAAGGTTCCAAGTTTGATTCTTGCAAGTCGCGCTTATATATAATTTTAGCTTAAATTTCCGTCCTTCCCCACATCCCAAGCTTTTAGCTATAAGTTTTAGTTTTGTCTTTTCCCAAAGCCTAGCCCACAAATTAGCTTTCAAAAGGTTGTTTGATTTGGATTTTACAAAGGTTAATATCAATACTAAAATCACTAAAGCTTATACGAAATTGTGTTGAAGTTTGATGACATTTTTTGAATTTCAAGATTCAAACAAGTCTATTTTTTCTCGCAAATTTTTCATATATCTTTTATATATTTTATTTTTTTTTAGTTATTTTGACTTATAGTATTTTTTACGTATCTTATAAATATATAAATTTCATTTTTAAAAAATTTGAAAATTCTAGGCGCAAATATTCGATCAAACTTAAACTATTTGACTCTCAAAAAATGAAAAGTGTTACATAAATTGGGACAGAGGGAGTATTAATTAATATAACATTTGATTTTTTTCATAAATAATATTTATATACATTTTGTAAAAAATTCTATATCATTTTTCGAAGGATATAGAATAAGAATAGGCTCCTAGTAATAAATATATTTAAAACGTTAAAACAACAAAATTAATAGGGGATTGGCCAAATTTATATAATTTGTTATTATGAGGATTACCTTTTATTCAAAAAAAATATTTTGTAGATTAACATTTCATGTTTGACTAATAAATTCAATTTTTTTTCTCGTCAATATTAGAGATCAAATTTGTGCTTGACCAAAATTTTCAAAACTGCTTTTAGAGAAAGTTATGTTTTCAACTTTTGAAAAGAAGTTTTGCCACAACTCAAAAATAACTACTGTATGTGTTTTTCTAAAAGCACAATAGATTTTAAAAAGGTTCGATGAAGCAAGACATAAGTAGGAAGAAATGTTAAATGAAACATGACAAAACGAGTTAAAATTTGGTGAGTTAAAATGATCTTGTCTTTCACCACTACACTCCTTTTAATCAACCTTTTTGTAAATTTACTTTTTATATTCGAACCCCCTGAATGAAAATCCTGCGTCTGCCACTGGTAATAGGTCCTGCCCAAGATTTGAGATTGTTATAGCAATTTTGGTTAAAGTTCGGATATATTTAAGATCTTTTTCAAATATATATATATATGCAAGTTTGGTAACATGCTAGCTAGCTGCCAGACACATCCTTGTATTATATTTAGGTAATTAATCTAATTAAGACGTGAAAACTACATTGTTTCACCATCAACAACCCAATCAAGCGTGACCAGAGCTAGTTTTTTTTTGTTTTTATAATCAAAATGATGATTAAGTCAACTAATCTGGAATCAAGGAGGGAAAGTGTGAGGATCCATGTCCCAATATATATAATGAATAAACGATGAAAGAAGATGTGGGCATCTTATCTAATTTATACGTTACGTATGAAGAAATTAATAAGTAAAAGTGAACGAAAAAAATTAAATAATTTAATATGGCAAAAAAACTGATGTATGGAGATTGGAAAGCTAGTAGTAATATACACAGCTCAACCATCCATGTGATTATGTTTAGCTTGAATACCAAGGTTGAATGCACTTAAACCTATGACTAATTATTGTTTTTTCTTCTCATTCTTGTAATTTCAATGCCCATTAATTAATTATTAGTATATCCACATAAAATTTCGTAATACTGAGTCACAAATTTTACTTGGTTGTATAAGATTATTGTTAGTTTAAATATGATATTTGTTTTGAGTGTTATTTAAATTTTATTGTATCGTATTGTTAAGTTCATCGTTTAATAACAATAAAAAGTCTCATTTTGTATAACGACCGATTTAGTGTAATTACATCGTTACTTTTTTATTTTTATTTCTTCACTTTTTCTTTATTTATCATTTAATTTTTTTAATTTATTTTTTTATCCTATCTTTTTATAGTCTATTCTGTACACTATTTTATAGGTTTTTTGATGTATGATATCATATAATGACAAAAAATGATATAATATATTCAAATATTATATTTATTAAAATAATTTAATATATTATGATATATATATAATATAATACAATACAATATGATATCCTAATTCTATTATGAAACAATTATGATATATATATAATATCTAATATATAATACAATAAATATGATATCCTAATTCTATTATGAAACAATAGATAATTATCATTTATTTGCAATCTTAATAATTTAGATTTGGGTTATTACGATTTAAGTCTATTTATTTTTAAGGGTCTGAATCTTAATAATTTATATCTTAATTATTAATTGTATTGTTTTTTCTTCTTTTACAATCATTTAATGTATCTGAATGATTAAGATGTATAATGAAGTCTTAATATCATTAAAATGTTTATTGAAGAAATCCTACAAATCGCTACTCCATCTACTTTCACCCACCACGCACAACCATCGTTAATCACCAATTCACCACCATCTACCATCCATAACCACCATCTTTATCCTGATTTCAACCACCACTATCGTCAATCACAAAACCATTAATTGTTATCACCATTAGCAATCATTTGCAATCACAACCACAAACCATTATTACTTTGATTAATTACTATGGATAATTATCAATTTATCATTATTAGTCAATATTATCTACCGCTTACTACCATCACTATTCACTATATCATTATTAACTATCAATATCATTCTACTAAGTACTAATTATCATCCACCTACAACAACAATCACAATTATTCACTATTGTCAGCCACTGTACTATAAGTTACTATCCACAACCACCATCATCAGTCAACGCCATCCCAAATCAACACACCAATCATCATCATTAGTCAACACCATCACCAATTGTCATATAAAAAATTTAAAATATTTTATTGATATAATGTTAGATCAATTTAGTATTTTGTTATTTTTTATTAAAAAAACAAATTTTATACATTCGCATGTTGAATAAATAAACAATCTTCAACTATTTAATATTCAAATCTTCATATAACATTTTAATATTCAAATTCAGATGTATATTCAGATTCACATATCGTAACATTAATATAGAGATATTTTAATTTTAACAAAAACGAATTTTTTTTTAATATCTCAGTTGATTGAAGGACGGAATTTGTGTGCAAAGTGTCAACGATGCAAAGAGAGCGAGCATGCCCGTTTGAAGTTCAAAAAAAAAAAGGGTCCCCCACTCCTCCTTTCTCTTCTTCCCTTCCATCCTCTCACTTCTGAAACCCTCAATAAAGCAAAAGCTATGAATCAGAACAAATCCACCATTTTTGAATAAAGTTATAAATTCATGAGATTCTTCTTTCACACTGCTACCACTTTCAACTTTCAAATCCTTCATTCTCCCACTCCCTCTTCTTTTCTTATATAAAACAATTTTTTTACTCTTTTTTTTTTTTATAGTTTGTACACTCCAAATAGCCATCATTCCAAATACCCCTTTTCCTCACTTCCCTATGACTCAAAGAATGTGATAAAGAAAAGGGAAAGAGATTCCAAATGTTCCATTTGTCTCTTCAATCTTATATCTGTTGACCCAAAATCTTCACTTTTTACACCATTTCCTTATAGTATATTCAGTCTTTTTTCCTTGTTTCCTTCAACACCCTTCTATACTTCTTTCAACAATCAGAAAAGAGGACAAAATCCCACTTGGGGTTTTTGTTTTTCCTCTTTTGCTTTTGTTTTTCCCTCCCTTTGAACCATTTTAGTACTTTTGATGTTTGATTGAAATGGGTGGGGGAGGAAGAGTGGAGGTGGTAAGCAGCAAAGGGTGTTCTAAGCTGTTAGTGGATTTTTCCTCTTCATTTAGAGGGATTCCATCTTATTCATTGGAACCCTTCATGTCTCCTGCTTCCTCTTCCTCTGTTATGTCTCAATCAATACTCACCACTCCATCCAATTGTCCATTTTCTGGACTTGTTATCTGTGTAACTGGACTTTCCAAAGGTTTGTGATGCATTCTGCATACTTTGGTGTTGGAAATTTGAGCTAAAACTGATGTGAATTGGAAAAGGAGATGAAAAAGATTGTTTTTTAAAAAAAAATATGAAGTTGATATTGATGTGTTCTCCATGTTATGTTCTATTGCTAATTCTTGTTTCTTCAATATGTTATACCAGAAGCTAGGAAGCAAGTGATGGAAGCAACTGAGAGATTAGGTGGAAAATACAGTCCGCATTTGCACCCTCAATGTACTCATCTGGTGGTTCAGATATCCTTTTGTTTCTGCATTTCTTTTTCCTTGATCACTATTTTCCATAACCACGTTCTGTTTCCAAATCTAGTCAATGATACTTTTTTGCATTTTTTCCAGTTGACTACTTATCTTTTCCATACTTACACAAGCCAGAGAAATGACAATCGGATAGGTGGATCTAGTTAAATGTTTATAACTTGCTCATTAGATCCAGGTTATCAAGTGATTCAGGTCTAATGGTTGTGTTTTTTGGTTAAAATTTGTTGCTTGTATTTTTATTCCTTAATGTCTGGTACAGTTTTTCTGGACGAAAGTTTGAGCACGCCTCGAAACATGGTCTAAAAAATGGTCTACTTGTCGTTTCATTGGCATGGTTTGTGGATAGCGTGAGAAGGAATGGTAAGAAATGTTCTGTTTTGTATTTTTATTAGGGATGGTGCAGTAAGCTTCATAACTTGTTTTCTGTATTACTCTAGTATTCCAGGTTTTATGTTCTTGTTCAATTGATTAATCTTGTTATTTCTTTTTTCCTTGAAATGGACTGCTGAACATGCTGATCCTTCTTTTGTTTTTGGTAACTTTTATTTCTTTCAATTTAAATAACTTGTCAATTGTGGTTCTTAATAGTTTCTCTCCAGCAAACACGGATACAAGATTCTGCTTCCACTTCTCTTTTATGGCAAGGGATATGACTTGTGAGCATAATATAAAATATTTATTTTGGAAAAACTTTCAATTACTTGTACATTGTTTAAGCAGAAGGAATATATAGGCTAGTTTGAATTACCTAAACTTAATGTGTGGCGATTTGATGTTAAAATGGTTGAGATGATTACCTTTATCCTTCATGTTTTTAATTTAGTGAGAAATAAGCTGCTGTTTTAAATTCTTGAAGTTGAATTGTCATTCTTCTGTTTAAGATGTATCTACATGGATTGTCAATTGAAGGAGTTTCAAACATTGATGGTTAACTAGAATTTGGCTCCTTCTGTAATAAATAAACCTTTTACTTGCATTTGTTTTCAAGGTGCAACCCATATTTCTGCAGTTTTTTTTACAAAAGGTTTAGGGAATTTGTCTTTTATTTTCTTATTTTTTCTATGACTAAGACAATATTGCTTATGTTTGCTCCAGTGAGGCTGAATGAATCCCTTTATAGTGTTAAAGGTGTTGGACAAGGTGGTTTCTCTGTAGATGATATCAGCAGTCAGCATTCATGTCTCCCTGTTGCATTGCCTGAACATAGCAAACCACCTGACATGATTGAAGAGCCATTAATACATGCTGAAAGAGAACCTAAGCGAAGAACTCTGTCTGGTCATACCTTTTATGTTGATGCTGATGTTTCTGATGAGCTGCGTAGTAAGGTAGGTTGAGGTTGTAAAAAGACTCAAAATTGAATATTATGTTCAACTTATACAGGATTGTTTTGCTGTAGTACTGCTTATCTAAGTCTTATATTTGTTTCACTGAAAATCGGTGCTATGCCACTGTATTTTTCTTTGTTTGTTAGAACAATATGAATTCCAATGTTGCATCATATCTGAAGCGTATGCCATCTGAATCAATTCAAATTATTAAAGGTGCTTTGACTATTTCTCTGACTTCTTGTTGTAAATTTTAGGTCATCGAGTCTGCAGCAGCAGAAGGTGCTAGTTTGGTCAATCAGTGGTTTGTTGGTTGCAGTGCGAGTCATGTTGTCTGCGAAGGAAACTCAATTCGGAAATACCTCGGCCATTCCTCTAAAATTGTTACGGTAAGTGTTACTTTATTTATTTAGTGAGTATGCCTGAATTCTTTCTCATGTTTGCAACTTAATTGGAACTGAATATTTAAGTTCGGTGAATTGCATTTTTCTGATCCCACTTCTTTTCCTGGGCAAGAACTTTACATAAGTCCTTCTATTAGTATCTCCTTGAGGAATGTTGTATCATTCCCCTGCCTCCTTTCTTCATTGGAATTGCTTTTACAAACAATAAACTTTTTGTCAGCCGCTCTGGGTTTTGAAGAGTGCAAAGGAAAAGCGCCTGCAAAGGCTTGTTCATATGTCTGCTGATTTGGCTAGGCAAACTGGAATATTACTTGATAACATTCAGAATACAATTTCTAGCAAGGTATGTATTCATGTTCCTTCTGTTTGCCCTCTTCTCTCCTCTTTCACTATCCCCGTCTTCTAATGGTTATTGATGAGCTTTCCAAGGTGCTTTCTCTATCATCTTAAAGATTGTTTTAGAATATCTTCCTGTTGTTTAAATCCAAGGATATTAGCTTTGTGGTCTCTATTACAATCCTCCATTAGAAAGCAAATTGATATATATCATCAGATAAATAGACAAAGCGTATTTGTCTTGTTCTTTCTCGCACAAGGACACCATACAAATTGAGGGGTCTGGTTAATCTTTCTTTTGAGGTGGGTTCCACGGTGCTGTATATTCTCTGTAGTAGACTTTGGTGCTGTATCTGAGTTCATATGGATGTATGTGCCTGAAGGATTTTTAGTAAGGTATAGATATGAAGTGACAAAATTCCCTTCTTTTTGGCAGTAAATTTATGCATCGTCTTTAGTGAAAGCTTATGTAGTGTCTCATATGATCTTGTTCTAGTAAGCCCTTGATACTAGATAAGTAGCATGTCTGTCACATCTTTTTCATAAGGCCCACTTTCTTATCCAGAGATCAGATAATCTGGCTTTAATTGGGTCGGTGGTCCAGAGAAAATTTGTTAACTTTGGTTCAAGGATCCTGGCCTAGCATTTTGTAATTTGGACCATATGCTAGGGGTTTTAACTGTAATTTGGACCATGACCTACTCATTTTTCTGGTTTTCCCACAAATCTCAAAGAAAAATACATATCATAAGGGTGTTCTGGTAATTTATCCAATGTCTTAAGGGTTGTCTTTTGATCAACCTAAGAACTTCAGATAGACCATGTATTTTTGGTTATGAGCCTGTATAAGGTTTCCCATTGATGTAGCTATATATCCTTGCCCTTGACTATTATTAAGCTTGGACTCGGAGTAGTTACAGAATTTTGCAATTGGATCTGAGCTTAACTCCGTGAGATATTCCAAGTAACGGGACCAAACATTGAAGGAAACCTTCACCAACAACTATACCTCAGTTCAACAAGTTGGGGTCGACTATATGAATCCTCATTTCTTCATTAACCCAAAAATAGAAGTAATAGGAAGCAATCTTTTTTTGTTTGCTCCAAACTGATTACCACTATCCTTAAAGGAAACCTTCTAATACTTCTTACATAATGCATAAAGTTCAGTGGGACCCTTCTTTTACTCTTTTCAACACAACTTTTCGTCTATACTATTATCAAAAAAAGAGAAAAAAAGAAGCTAACTTGTGACTTCACATGTTTAATCAACAAATATTGGTAATTCTCCATTTCAGAAATTTTCTTGATAGTCGTACTGAAGAAAAGGTGGACTATAATAATGATGAATAGAGCAATTTATATTTAGAGAAGTGATTCTTGCTTCGTGTGGCTATTGTAAGCTTCTCTGGTCTTTAGTTGATTGGTGGATATTTAGTGAGGGTGTTGGTTGTCTTTTAATACCTCGAGTACCTCTCATGACCTGAACAACAGACATCATAAATGGATGCTAGGTGGGTGTAAGGCGATCAATGGATGCTAACGTAGGCGTTCCCTGGGTTTGTCATCATTTACCTTTTCTAAACTCAAGATGTTTATACCCAGTTTCTCTACTAAAATAGGTACTAAATGAATGACATTATAATCTTGGATGGGATTATAATCAACTTTACATGAAACTTTTATCCTGCAATTCAGTAATGTGGATATTGTGTCCAGTTGAAAGGTACCACATCTAGACAATGCTTGAAATTTCACAAGGAATTAGTTGCTTTACCTGTTGAAAGCTGTCTAGTTTTCTGGGGCTTTCTGTTAAAATAGATTTTACCATAAAAAATTCTGACAGTGTAACAAGTGATTAGTTGGATGGGATGGCCTCCAGTGGCTGATCTCAAATTGGTCACGTAAGATACACATATTTACAAGTTTGAGCTATCAATTTATATATTTGATTGAATTTTTGCATTGTAGCACCATCTTTTGATGATTTCTTGCTACAGTTTAATATTTTTTTAAATGAATATAGGAAGTCAACACTGGTGCTTATCTTCGAGATGTAACAAGTTCTACACCTAGAGTGAGCCAGGAAGAAAGGCAAAATGTTGCCAACGTGGCCAAAGATGGAGTTAGGAAGCGTCGTGGTTGGCGTATGCAGGTAAAAACACTTCCACTTGTTGTCATACAGCTCATTTTTTTTGTTTAATGATGCCACCAAATACAAATAGATGCATGGATGGTTTAGGCTTATAATACCTTTTTTCTGTTATGGCTAATATGTCAGCAATATATCTGTTGTGACACGGCATAACTCTCATTTTAGATTTAACATCTTAATTCAAGTTGCATTGCAATGAATTTCATGTTTATCTTCTCAATTGTGAGTGGTTTGGCCCAAGGTTGGGCCACTTGGTGTTAATCTCAATCTGCCATTCCAAAACACTTTAGAGGGGAACAGGAATCGGGTACTTTAATTCTCATAGTCTTGGCCCGATTTTGGTTTGTTTAAGAAATTATAGTTCACTGGTAGATTGCTTATTCTTAGTGCTCTACCAAAATGACAATTAGGCATTGCCAGGAGTCATGAGGGCTTTAACTTAGTTAATTCTTTTCACTCCTGTTCTTCTCTTATTTGTGTGTAGCACTCAACCAAGTACCAATTATGATCTCGTAAGTATATGACTATTTTCAATGAAAAATTTAAGTTTACTTTCCCATTTGATTTGCAGACTTGCCAAACCCCTCTACGTCACCTATCTCCAAGCAGCCTTCTAGATTCCATCTGCTGGTCGATATCTGATCCAACTTCGACTGCTTCTATTTACATGGATTCTTCCAGTGTGGAAGATACAAACCAACAGAACACATCTGTGTTTTTTGATGCAAAGGACGATCACAAAGCACCTGAAGCTTCATTTGTGAACCTATCCCGACCGCTTTCAGAAAGGTTTGCCAGATTTCTTACTTTCAGTGACTGTTACAGTTTCAACTAGCATACTTAAAACTTTTGAGTTCTTGCGCATATCATTGTTTCGCGGAGCATATCATGTTGGTTCTTTATGTGGGCAATGAACGATCAATTTTTTTCAGAACTGGTAATTGATGAAAGTCATGTATCGGTCATGTGCACTTGTTGGAATTTAGCATAGGACAATTCCAAGACCAATATCAAACTATTAGGTTACTATTGGCGGAAATGGTACACTAGGGACAGAATTGCTACTTAGCTCAATTATTGAGGAGTACAGATGTGATTCACTTTTTTTTCTTCCTTTGATTGTCTTTTTGTGTTTGTTTGATTGCAGTGAGAAAGCTGAGCTGATATTGAAAAACAACTTCGTTACCATACTGTTTCCAGTTGATCGATTTTCCGAAATGGGTCCATGTTCCAGGACCTTTTTTAGTGAAAAAGGGTTCACGTGTTTACAGGTGTTGGATTACATATATGCATTTTATCAGGTACTGGATTTATCCTTTGTTAGATTCATGTGCTTTTATTCAAGAATGGATAATAACAGAAAGATTTCAATTTCTTTAAATGAATTTGATTAGTTTCACACTTCACTTTTACTCGGGGAAGTTTAAAATGCTCTCTCTAATTGGATTTCTTGTTCCTAAAACATTACGTTTGTGATATTTCTAGGAAAACATGTCCCGTGGAGAGGTAGAGGTAGCGATTCACACAGATTCAAGGAATGCTGACCGACTAAGATCAGTTTATTGCAGTAAAGAGACTAGTGAGCGTGGTTGTGTAGAATTCAAGCGAATAGAATTTCTTGGTAGCCGTAAAAGTTTTGAAATGTTGAAGCGTGTTTCGGGTGATAATAACTGTAACGTCTATGAGTTATTGATCAGAGCATAAGTTCATAGGAGGAAACAGAGTTGGACGACATTCTACTTTGGTTTCGATTTGGCTGGTAACATACCTCTGGCCTTCCAAGTGCAGACTTGGATATGATGGAGAAGGTAAGTAAACACTGAAGAAAAACTGTACATATTCATCATCAAAAATCATTTTTGCAATGTGATGTTTTGTATATTTGTAAAGAAACAAAGGTTTACATACTAGCCAGATGTATTTTGATCTTTGTTTGGATTGACTTTTGACATATAAGCCAAAAGCCATAAGTTGGAAATTCTAACTTATGGCTTTCGGCTTATTTATGTTATTGTGGCTTAAAAACAAGTGCTTATAAGTATTTTTTTTAATTTACCCAATCACTATAAAACTGTTTAAGGAGGTGCCGAAGTGATATATATCCTGTTAAATTAGTCGAGGTGAGTGCAAGTTAACTTAAACACCATGATTATCACAAACACAAATTGAACTTCTAATTCTTTCGCTAGAGTTAATTATTCATGACTATGTGTTGTCACACAGTATTTTTTTTGTCTTGTTAAATACAAAATGGAATAATTCTTATTATTTCTATTTAATCTTACACTTGTTTAAGACAATTGAGACTTCATTCAATCAAATCAATAGAAAGATTTTTGTTTTTTCTATGATTCCGAGATATTCCAAGAGCTAGTGGTGTAGAGTTTGAAATTCAATGGATAATGAGTCTCCATCTATTCTTCTCCACTTAAATAAAGCATTTTTTATTTAAATTAAAAAACACTTGACTTTTATAATAAAATATTACTATTATATAATGTGACCATTGTAGAAAGATTTGATCAAATATCTGGAGAATCTCAAGAAAGAATTTAGTGAGCTATGTTGTCCTATAGCTTGCTTTTCTACCGAGAGATCATGTGGTTCGCAAATAAAATTATCTTAGGATTATAATCTAGGGACTAATTTATCTAAGAGGGATAAAATAACATAAAGTTTGAAATATAAATTTATTTTCAACCAAACAAAATATAAATTTAAACCTGAGATATACACCTTATCCCATGAACCAAACCACCCTTCAAGATATGCATAATATATTATATATATAATGTCACTTAAAAGCATAGAGTAGAGATAAGTATTGATATTACACACCAAAGTTTGTTGAAAGTACAAACTAGAACAATATTACTAATAAAAGATGTTTCATTGATGAGCAAACATAGATATAGGTAGGGGGCGGGTTCATTATCCACCGAGTTTAGAAGGCTGTGATTGGTTCAAAGGGCGGGTCACAGACTGATTTCTCGATTATAACAAAAAAACAAAAAAAAAACATAGATATAGGTAGATAGATGGGAGGTTTGATTTAGAACCTCTGGTGCAAATTAGGCTGCATTGGTTGGACTCTGAAAGCAAAAGGCATTTGCCCATAATCATGATTTTCCCTTGTCTGCTCAAACACTTCACCTACTTCTCCCATGTTCCTATTCATGCTTGCTATCTCTAGTTGTCTCTGTCATTAATTTGTCCAAACAAACTAAATATTAGTGAAGGTTAAATCACCAAATTAATCTTTGAAACTATAGATGTTAGAAATCTTGAAATGTGAATGAAAGGGTATATAGTTTGGTTGCTGGTTAGGAAGTGATGAGCTATTCATGTATTAAAATCAGTATAACTAATACAACGTTTGACAACATTATAGTTGCATGCTACGTATAAAGTTCAACACACCTAAGTATGCGGTGTTTGGTTACCAATTTATAAATCTACATAACTAATGGAGTACATGTGTATAAGTTAGAATAAAATCTAGGTAAAAGATGAAATAACCAAGAAGTACATGGATAATTAAACTTACTTTATATAACTAATTCATACAGTATTTTTAATACATGCATAACTAACCAGCAATCTAACGACCTAGGGACGTTCAATCTCAAATGTTTAGGAGCATATCTAAAATATATAAACGAAGTACGATTTACATCTCTTCATTCACAATTGTTCTCAACAAAACATCAAGATTTTGAGAAAGCTAGGTTATAGATATCTAAATTCTTCGTGAGTCAACATATTATAGAGCTTTAGAAATATAATGCATTGATCAAGGCGAAATAATTAATTTGAATTCATAATTTTATCAGTTTAGTGCTAAGAATCTCGAAGATTAAACCTATCAAGTTCAAATTTTGGATTTGTCCTCAAGAAAAAAGAGAGCAAATATATGTGTAAAAATTAAGTTAATATGATAACCATACCAATTGACAGTTAAGTTGATCTTGCTCCTGCTCCATATTTTGAGTCTTGAGTAATTTCCATCCAAACACCACAGTAGGTCAAAAAAATAAGAAAGATATAATATACAACACATGATATAATTGAACATTACAGTAAAGTTAACAACAATATTATTTTTTATTAAATAAGAAAAAAACAAGAGTCTACTCCATCTCTCAAAAGAAAATAGTCACTCCCTCGATTAAAAAAAAAAGATCTAGTTTGATATGACATGCAGTTTAAGAAAATAAAGAAGATTTTTCAATTTTATGATCCTAAATTGAAGTTATGTCAAATGTACCAAAATGTCCTTTAGTCTTGTGGCCTTAAACATGCCATGTGAAAAGCTGAAACCAAAGTGTTGCCAAAAAAGGAAAACAAACATTCTTTACGAAACAGACTAAAAATGAAAGCATGTCATTCTTTTTGAAATGAAAGGAATAATGTTTTTTTTTTTCATTCTAAATAAATTTAGTTATTTTTAAAAATTAATGTATATAAATTTAAAAAAAGCTAATAACATAAAACGATGATAGTTCTGAAAGAAACACGTAATAGTTTAAGTATGAATACCGAAAACGATGATAATCTATGTATTAAAACTCATTGTACTTCAAACAAATTACATAGAGTTGGACATACCTTTTTCCTCACCATCCTCACAAACTCATTCTGTAACACAATCAAGGTGATAAATATTATATAAGAACACATTAATTATTAAATTCAATTAAACACACAAAAATATAAAATTGTAGGTACCTGTTTGTCACGGATACCAGTGAGTCCAATTTCAAGAGCATCTTCCAATATCATGAGTTCTCTATAGTTCAAAGATGATATGTCTTCACCCTTTAGGTGCCTGAAATTAAACAATTCAACAATGGATAAACCATTAAACAAAACTTCTTTCCTACTACTAATATTTTGTTTTTTCTTTTACACTTTTTGCTTTGTTTCACTGACCTCCCTTCACGTTTTGCTTCGTTTCACAGACTCTTTCCTCACATTTATTTTGACTTTTTTGTAATATCAGTGAAACGAAGCAAAACCTTAGAGGTCTTTGAATTTTATTTTTAAATTATTTTTTTGGGAAAAGGGAGGGAGCGGAATCCAGTAGCTAGCTTTTGCTCAAATCCGTATTAAGAAATCTTTTAAATATCAATAAAAGAGAGAAGTTTAATAAATTTACCTGAGTTCTATTTGCATGTTGTCATTGTCTTTCTTGACTTTGTTGATTTCATTGTCCAAGTTCTGTTTACAATCCAATCAAAACTAATCAAAAACTTTAAATATTTTATTTTAAAAAAAAACATAGAAATTAAGCTAGTTAATCAATAAATCAATATTGAAGACCATATAGGTAGCTAGCTAGTTTTGGGTGCTAACAACAATGAAATGACTTGCAAACAAAAGGAAATAAGAGGGAAGAACTAACATTTCATTTTCTTGACTAGAAGAATATAACCATCACTCTTCCTAGTTAACAATTTTGACTAGGGATAACATAGCTAAAAAAGTACATGCTATTTTTAGATCTCTTCATAGAATTGATGTTTCTAATTTCTAACAACAAAATCACCCTTTTTCCCCAAAAGGGGGTCAGTCAAAAACCAGTTAAAACATTGATCTTTCATGTCAAAGGGAGGAAAACCCTAATTTTATTTTTCTTCCTAAAAAGAGAAGCTAAATAAGAAAAAACAACTTGCTTTTTCTAGACCTGTTCAAAGATTTTATGTTCCAAGTGAACTAACATTGTTTTTAGCAAAATACACATGTTTTTTTTTTTTTGCATTTTAAAGAATAGGTTAAAGAAAATATGGAATTTGATCCAAGAGTTTGTTTGATTTTTTTTTCTTTTCCCCTTTATCAAGAATATGTAATTAAAAGATGGAATTTGATCCAAGGGTTTCTTTGATTCCCCCACCCCCTCCCCATTTCAAGAAAAATATGGAATTTGATCAAGGGTTTGTTTGATTTTTCCCCCCTTTTCAAGCATAGGTAAAAAAAAAAAAAAAAAGAAAGATGGAATGCTTCTTTGATTTTTTTTCTTCCATTTTTGCCCTTTTTTCAACAATAGGTAAAAGAAAAATATGGATTTTGATCCAAGGGTTTATTATATTTTCTTATTTTTTTTCCTTTTTCAAGAATAGGTAAAAAGAAAAGATGGAATATGATCCAAGTGTTTATTTCAAGAATAGGTAAAAGAAAAATATGGAATTTGATCCAAGATTTGTTTGATTTATTTTTAAAAAAAAATCCCCTTTTTCAAGAATAGGTAAAAGAAAAGATGGAGTTTGATCCAAGTGTTTCTTTCATTTTTTCCTATATAATTTTTTTCTCATTCCTCTTTTCAAGAATAGATAAAAGAAAAAAAAATGTTTTTTTAAAGGGTTTCAACTTTACCTCATGCTTCGCATCCCACAATCTTCTCCCAGTAAGCTTGTGGTATTGATCCAAAATATCAACCAAACTTCAAAACAATCACACCAAAATTTCTTAGACAAAAAAAAAAGAGAACAAGGTTGAATAATATGATGATTAAAAAATAAACAAATTAAAGGATGATATATAACATACGGAGTAGATGAGAACTCATGCATCTTTCCAGAAGTAGCAAAAATGATAACAGAAACATGAGCATCACAAAGAACACTAATTTCCTTAGCTTTTTTCAATATCCCATTTCTTCTCTTTGAGTATGTTACTTGTCTGTTGCTTGAGTTCTCTATTCTCTTTATCTCTATTTTTCCTCTCCCCATTTTTTTTTTCTTTTTCCCCTTTTCTTCTTTGTATGTTGTGTTGTTTTTACCTTTTAGATGAATATATTGAAGTAAGTATATAAGAAGAAGAAGAAATGAATGGGAGTGTCTATTAAGGGGTTGACAGACTATCAACTTTCTTAAGTAGCAGAAAAAGTTTGTATTTTTTAAGGCATTTGATAATGCCAATCCATCTGTATCT